GGCTACTAATCAATCTAGGCAAAAAATTAAATAGCAAAAAAAATGAAAAACACTATGAAAAAAACCTGGGGAAGGGGTACTGTATGCAGCGCTATACGGTATATGGTATATATTTTACGTAGTACGTATACATTATCTAATTTAATGATTATACTCTTAGTTTTACACTTCAATTGATATGACGTTGGAAAATTGAATTCTATATATGACATAATTACAGGGAAATTATTTTCACGTGCAGGCATATAATTTTATTGGCCTGTTACGAAAAGGATTATATAACATGCATAATATACCTAGAGAATCTTCAAAAAATGGCGATAGGGCACAGTAATATTGATAAGTGAGAAAAGATTCCGATCTTTTTCGTGATAATTAATTTTTGAATTTTTACTCTATCCCTTCTTAATAATTTATATGTTCACATAAAGGCAAATAGAAAAACTTCGTAATCGCAAACTAATTTCTGAAGGGGAGGTAAGAGAACTTTGCCGAAATGCGAAAAAAATTTTAATTAAAGAAAGCAACGTACATAGAGTTAATGCGCTCGTGATTGTAAGATATTTTCATGTTTATGGGTATATGCGCTCTAGAGATTTGTTTTATAAATCTAAAAAAATTTAATAAACCAGTTAGTTCAAGTCTATGATAACATACACGGTCAGTTATATAATTTAAAAGAATTATTTAATGTCGAAGGCAATTGTCTAGAAACGAATTATTTATTCTTGGGTAAATTACTATTGATCCTATACTTCGATTATAATCTTATATACATTATAATAGTTTGCTTTATATTTTACAGGGGATTTTGTCGACAATGTAGAAACATTTCTGTTACCTCTTGCACTCAAGGTACGCCCTATTGTTCGTTATCCATTTTTCTCATGATTTACCGAATATCTCATTCACTTGAGAATAATTATTTCCATTTAGGTACGATACCCCAATAGGGTAACATTAATACGTGGTAATTATGAATTAACCCAAGTATCTGAATTCTATGACGAATGCTTTCAAAAATATGGTTCGGTTAGTGTATGGAGACATTGCTGCGATATTTTTGATTATATGAGTCTTTCCGCGATTATGGATGGCAAAATATTTTGTATATATGGGGGATTATCACCATCCAGAAATTTGTCGGATGAGGAAAAATACAGGTGAGAATTGATTGTTCGCTTCCGTTTGTTTATGTTTTCGCATATTCACTTACCTATATCTATCTATGATTACAGGGAATCATCAATAGCTAGAAATTCATCGAATGAGAAGAAATCCAGGTAAGAATTGATTGCTTTATTCGTATCATTCGTTCGTTTATATTTC